GAATTAAAAATTCTGAAAAAAATAATTTTTGTGGGACAAATTAAAAGTTATGACATAATTTATTTTTAAATAAATTGTATGCAGTTTGTTTTATTAAAGATAAAAATCACAAAACGGTCAAAATGACCGCTACGGGCGTTCTAATGTTAAAAAAACATGATGAATAATTGTAACATACGATTTTAAAAGATAATACTTTGAAACTTTTTTTGATCCGTCATTTTTTTCATATTATGAGATGTGTATAGTACGTTAATTTCAATTTACGAGTTTTGGATGGTACGAGAGAATCTTTGCTCAGAATAGAAAAATATGAACCCAAAAAATTTTCATCATATTATTGTTGTTGTTGTTGTTCTTGTTGTTAGTGTTAGTGTTAGTGTTGTCAGGTTCATATTTGTGCAACAGCTGTTCTCCTGTGAGCAAAAGAGGTTCTATGTTTTAGATAGTATATTCCTAGATGAAGAATAGACAACAACACACACGTTGCTTGATTGAAAAAGCATTAGAAAATTTGTTTTTGCGTTTAAATGATTTTTTAAGTAGAATAAATTTTCAAGAGAGAGAGAGAGAAAGAAAAATACAACAGGACAGACTAAATTTCTCGAGATCAAGGGCTCGACCCATCAGTAACGTATTGCAAGTGAAAGGAAATGGTAACTAAAATTATAATCTCCGACAAGCTCTTCTAGTACAGTGCGTCAAAAAATTATTCGCATACTTTTGTTTTCGATTATTTTGCTCGGCTTTGATATCTTCAATAAATCTGGAAGAAGATTTGAATAACTGAAAGAGTTTCCAATTTGATGTGGTGCGTATGAAGCCTCGATGAAAACTGATTGTAATCTGAGTCTCTGAAAACCTCATCCTTAGAAAATTAGTTCTTTGAATCCCTTTGGGAAATTTTTTGCAAACAACTCTGCTGAACAAACGTTTGTGAACAAAATGCGATATCTTTGAGCTTTCTGCGGCATTTTGTTCATAAAGCTGCATTTAATTTAATTTCCCCAAATCGTCAAAACCAGCGAAATTCACAGAAAGATATATAGAAACTGAATAAAGCTTCATGAACAAAATGTCGCGGAAAGCTCAAAGATATCGCATTTTGTTCACAAACGTTTGTTCAGCAGAGTTGTTTGCAAAAAATTTCCCGAAGGGATTCAAAGAACTAATTTTCTAAGGATGAGGTTTTCAGAGACTCAGATTACAATCAGTTTTAATCGAGGCTTCATACGCACCACATCAAATTGAAAACTCTTTCAGTTATTCAAATCTTCTTCCAGATTTATTGAAGATATCAAAGCCGAGCAAAATAATCGAAAACAAAAGTATGCGAATAATTTTTGGACACACTGTAAGATAGTTTAACATGGTATTTATGCTGACTAATCAATCACTACTTTTTTCTTCCTTCCAATCTCAATCTCAATCAATCAAATGATTTTAGCTTATCGTGATGACTGTAGTTATCGCTAACGATGACATTAGAGATCCCTAATACTTAAATTTATTATCTATGGCATCTTCATATTTCAGTCATGGGAAATTATCCACCACATTGTCAAAATATTTCAAAATATGATCATGTTGCGGACATTACAAGAACAAGTACACTATCGCCATTAGTCTACGGAAACAATTCCACATTGTTAGTGGAGCAGAATAATTTAACAAATCAAACTTTCTCATATGAAAAAATTTCAGAATGTTGGATAGAATATCGTATCGGAGGTAAGAATTATCTATCAAAGTCATATTATCCCTAAAATGTTCAATATATATGTGTATTAGATTTTGTATCTGTGTTTTAGATTTTTTACGACGAAGTTTACCATTTATTATATTACCAATATCGTTAATTTGTAATGGTATCAGTTTTCTTGTTCTACGCGGTCGACATATGCGTGGAACATCGACGGCATTTTTCATGCTGGCCTTAAGTTTATTTGATCCATTAGTATTAGTGACAAAAAATCTTGTTTATAAAAATTTTGCATCATCTCATCCATTTCATTGTAAAATATTATATTTTTTTATTTATGTTTTAAATTATACTACTGTATGGATATTAGTAGTAATGACAGCCGATAAATTTTTTGCTGTTTGGTTTCCATTAAAAGTATCGTATTTTTGTACAATATCACGTGCTAAAATTGTCTGTATTATTATATTGAGTCTAACGAGTTTAATATCGTTACATCATTTTTGGACAGTAACAAGTTTAAGCGATTTTGATTCAACTACAAATTCAACCGTTAAATATTGTTATTATGATGCAGATAAATATAAACAATTTATGAAAATATGGCGATATGCTGATTTTTTTATATGGTGTTTTATTCCGTTTATTCTAATATTAACACTGAGCGTGTTGATTATTTATAAATTACGAAACAAAAAAAGCATAAATATAGATCTCAAACAGAAAAGATTTTATACAAACACCTTTCTAGGTAAATACGCCTTTAATCATCACATTTGTTGAATTTAACTAATGATTCATATTAGAAATCTAAATCTGACTGTTTGTCCCATTTTTAGGGAAAAATCCCCATAGCTTGGTTTTTGTTTACAGTTTATGAATTTTTTATTCTTTATATTCTGCAGTGACGCGTTTGAGCATATTATCCGTGACTGAATCATACACAAGCAAACATATCTAATGTTAGATTAACACGATGACTAGTTATTAATTGTCACCTCACTAAAGACTGTTGCCACTGCGTGACTGTTTTTGAAATTACTCATTTGGTGTAAACTTTTTCCAAACAATCTGGTTCTTACTTCTAATATTGAACATGAATCTACGTTAAAGACGAGTAGAGTACAGATAACTTATACTCAGCAATCTCTATCCTTATTCTCATATTAGAAAATGAGAATCATGTGTCAGTTAATGACACATTAAGCTAACTTGAGAAACGAAGAAAAGTTATGTAGCACTTTGATTAAGCAATCAACTTGAGATTCTGTCTCCAAAACGCCATCGTCAACATATATATATATATATGCCTTACCATCATAACTCACATATCTATACGTTTCTTCAACAGCTTGATCTAAATCATACCTTTTCTAACCTATCAGAATAGTCTATAGTAAAGAACGAAGAATCAGTCTTATTTTGGTCTTTTACATGTGTTTCTCAAAAATGCCTTTCAAAAGCACCAGTGACGAATAGTCAAGGGAGAAATAGCGGACTCCTGAACTCCTGGACTTCAGGAGTCCATGGGAGTTCAGGAGTCCATAGAAGTCCATAGGAGTCCAGGAGTCCGCTATTTCTCCCTTGCGAATAGTACGGGCTGTAGTTACTGGATAGTAACTACATGGCAATGATCCTTTTTCTATTCCTTGGTGTCACTGTATACAAGATGCTCAAAATCAAGAGCAGGCAAACAGTATTTAAGTTTGTACTTTTTATATGATATAACGGATCCTTCGATTTATAGAGTTCAAACTATTATTCTTTTGTGAAACATTGATTATTAACACATATTAGATTTTAATAATTAGCCTTGTCATGAACCGTGATTTTAAGTTATCGAATACAAGAACAATACGCTCAGTAATAATTTATTTCCGTTTTTAGGTAGCAGAAAGCTGGCAAATATTAGAAAAGATATTCATATTCGAAGTAATCAGAAAACGGAAGCTATTCGACTCAAACATCGTCACATAACGTTAATGTTATTAGCTGTAGCTGTCGTTTTTCTTCTATTAACGTTACCAAATAGTATTTATTTTGTTCTCGATTTAAAATACGATTTTAATTCCCGGCCCAAGAAAAATAATTATGCTCAATGGCTTCGATATCGTCGTTTAACAATATTGACCATCGTCCTGTTTCAATTAAGTGATTTGCAGCATACAATGAATTTTTTCCTATATATATTAACATCAAATAAATTTCGTCAATCCGTATTATCCATATTTGCTGTAGTCCCAATTTGTCGACGAAAAATACAACAGAATTTACAAATTACTACTACAACGACAGTAACAACACAACCAGCATATCTTTTATCATTTCGATCGAGTACATCGGATGTATCAACGATAAATCATCATCATCAACGGAATGATAATAATCATCATTACTATCAGCAAATGAGAAATTTACCAAAAAAAAAGCTAATTCAACCAATATCTATTGCAAGTGCCACAACGACGAGTAAACCAGAACAGTATAAATATCGAGCTTTATTCAATAATAGAAGATATTCAAATTCTACACCATCTCTCTGTTAATTTATTTTATTTTTTTTGTTTTTGTTATTTGTATGTAAATATATGTACACAAAGACATTCATGCAACCAATAATCATTAGAAAACAAAGTTGAAAAAGCGAAAACTGAAATTAGAGTACATTCGGTACAATTTGTCAGCAAACAAAAGAGATAGAGCTTCAAAAAATTCGTTCTCAAATATATTTTAGACTTGAATATGATTCCAAGAAGATGTACGTAAAAGATCTTGCAACTGTTGAACTGTTTCATTTTCAAACATTGCCATTCCGTTCGATAGTTTCGATAATGATTGTTGTTCCACTTCTTTGTCTTTATTGTTATTGCTGTTTTGTTGTTTATAATCTATCCAGCGTTGATCATCAAATGCTGAATTATAGGTCAATATACTTTGAGAACTAGTGCGTCCAGCTCGTCTCAACGGTACACTATTTCGTGAATTACTATTATTTTTTGGCAATATCGCTGCATCTTTCTGCTCTTTTTTAAGATACATTTGTGTAAAATACATGACATAATAAGGACAAGCAACAGGTGGTTTATTTCGAGATTTAGGATTTTTTCTTAGTATTACACTTTCACTGCCCACATTAGACAGTTGTGGTACTTGATACGAATGACTTGGACCAACAGTGGACGGTACTGTTGTTGCTGATGTACTGTATGATTCTGTAATTGTGTTACCCGTGGCATTTGTAATTGCTGATGAATAACGTTCATGTTGTAGAGGAGCGGATACCGTTGATGCTGAGGATAATCGACATGATGATGTTGAAGATATGATACTAGGTGAGGCTTGTGATGCTCCATTAAAAATCAATCGATCTTCTCGCAGTCGTTTAGCAACGAGCATTTGAATGTCTTCATTTAAATTTAGAATTTCTTTATTTTTTTTAAATTTTTTACTCATTTCATCTACTCCAATTTTAAGCTTAGCTGACGTTCGAGAATCAATGAATGATCGATTCTTTGGTACACTTGTACTGGGAGGAACTGGTAGTGATCCGGCACTCGTCGATCGCGATGCATTCGATGGTAAATCATCGAGTGATCGAGTTTGATTATTATGTGACGGATGGTGTTTAACGTTCGAAGGTCGAAATCCATTACGCTGTATGGTTTTATACGGTAAACCTGATCGATAATCATTGTTCTGAACGATATCCAATGATTGTTGTTGGTGATTATTTTGATGATGAACCATCTGTTGAGAAATGTTCACATTATGATTACGAATTTGTTTCACTTCTTGCAATGTATCAGCAGCAAATAAGCCTAAAAATATGTACATTATTCATTTCCGATGAATTAGTGCTGAGTCTTTCCAGTGGCAGAAGGAATAAGGAATTTTTTTCCATCATCACGTCAGCAGAATCACATCTACTATTAAATTCAGAACTAATTACCGGTTTTGTTTTTTGGTAATGGTAACATAGATTGATAAATCAATAGTTTAATATCATATATGTTCTCTGTATTAATTAAACAAAATCTGCATTTGTACGAAAGATATTGCAAACTATTTCTTGTGGTATTGTGTAAAAAAAAAAAAGAAGTACAACATAACAGAAAAAAGAGAAAGACTTGGGTGACAATGAGAAACTAAAGGTTACAAGTAGAGGTAAAATGACTACAATACATGTTTTATTGCTACAAACGAGAGAATAGAAAGAAAAACAGCCAAAAGACATTCAAAATGATTGTTTCAATGCAACACATTAAATATTTTTAAAAAAAAAAGGTGAGAGAAATTTTTATGAGGATCGCAAAATTATACAATGAAAAATAGTATGACATTTGTATTATGCTGCAATAATGGAATAACGAATATAAATGTGTAAAAAACAATCGATCGAGATAATCGTTCATTATTCATATGAGGAATTTTTGACAAGTAGATAAATTTAACAGGAATAGTTTTTTAAATCAGCAATAAAGACAAGATTTAACCATGTCTATGTTAATTTAGGACTTTTATATCTTCCTACAAATCATAAGTTTTAGCAAATATTTTTCGTCATGATAGAGTCATGCTTTAAAACAAAAGGCCACGCTCATTGAGTATGACGAGACGTTTTCAAAAATCAGTTTAATAAAAGAATAAGTTTTATTTCTTATGAATATCTGAAAAAAATGTCATAAAAACAAGTATAAAACAATTAAAAAGAAACATTTAAAATACCAAGGATACCCCCCCCTCATTATTCACCTTGTTACAGAATCGTAACGATAAATCACAGAGGATAGAAGTTTTTAGTAAAAACTTTTTCTCGAAAAATAAAATGGGTATATTTTTTATTACTAGGACCTCGGGAATCATTTTTCGTCGAATTTTCTAGAAAATTTAGATTTTTCACTGCATTCTATCAAAATTTTGTCAATTGTTTGAAATTTTTCAATACCGATAATAGACAGCTGTACAGTCGGATGATTTCCGTTTTATCCCTTTGGAATGTTTTATCTTCTTATAATATTAGCTCAAATGAGAAAACAGGTTTAGTTCTTGAAAGAACGAGAAGAAAATTACAACGACAAATAAAAAAGTTTATTAATTAGCTTCAGACAGAAAATGTGGCAAATAAGGTGAGGACGTCTCATTTTGTAAAAAATCCTATTTCTGACAGATTATCTTATTTTTGATAAATTTTTCTGAGATGAGGGGGGGGGATATCGTTAAATGGAAATAACAGAAGCAAAAATTACACTGTTATGATGTTGGCACACACATTAAAAAATATAAAATAATATAAAAATTTAGACTAATGAATATTGATGATGATAATCAAATAGACTATCATGATCGTTTGGTTGAATGTTTGCTCGTCTAGAAAAATAAATTTTTTTTGTAAGTCAACTCTACAAAACAACTATTTTTTTTTATCTGATGTGAAACAAACCTTAACAATGAAAATTGCTCATCATATGAAGCATAAATTTTATTTTCATCAAAAGTAGTTGTTGAATTAGGACGATAATAATTTTTTATACATTTTCGCGACGGATGTTCAGTAGCAGGACATCTTAGAACAAAAAATAAATAATTATTTACAATTAATAAATCATCATTATTTAAAAGAATCAAGTTACCTTCGAGGTGTGAGTCTTTCACATCTATAACATTTGTGAAGTAAACCTATTTAAAAATCAGATAAGACATGTTTTTGGACAATATTTTATATATTTTAAATATATTACCTTCATCCTGATATTTTGATATTGGACTCTGCGTAGACGAATGTACACCAGAATCAGCTGATGAACATTGCTGAACAATACCACCAAATAGTGAATGTTCTTTCATTTTAGTATTACTACAACGGCATCTATCGTCCTGATGTCTTATAAACGAATTTTGACTAATTTTAGGTAAATAAAATGCTGAACAAAGTTCTCCTTGACTAGATGAAATTGTTGATAAGACACTTGACGGTTGATAAAGTTGAAAATAAGGTTGATTTCGTTCTTGTGACAGTGGAAGCTGTTGTTTTTGTTGTTCGGTAATAGATTGACTAGACGATATTGAAATATCATCGGAACTTATCGATGACTTGAGTACAATAGGACGGAAGAATTTTTCGATCGGCGATGAGGATGGTAAATCGACTTCTAAAATATAAATATTGTAATAATGCAGAGATCTTTGTAAAAGGATAAAGTAACAAATGATCATTGAAATTTGGCATAATAGACCTTGTTTATCAAAATTTCAATAAAAATAGTATAAAGGATTCTGGCATTTTAAAATATTTTCGATACCATTGATCTCGGCTTGCCTATAGCAAATAAAGAGAAGACTGTCTCGCTCACTTTCATACACTGTTAAAAATCTGTGTTATTCAAAATGAGAGTTCAGTTTTCTGAAGAACAAAGTCGTTGTTCTTTAGGTTTTCTGATCTCTATAGGAGACAAATTGTTCTCTCAGAAGAACTCACTTTTTAAGAACAATCAAAAAGTTGAAGAACATACATAATTTTGTTCTTTAGAAAACAAAAATTTTTTTCTTCGCCTTGTTTTATATCTGTTTCACACAGATATCGGCTGAAGAACTCAAATTCTCATGGTTCCATTTACTTGAAGAACGTGGCTTTCTTTTCATATATAGAAAGCCGCCCTTGAAGATTTCGATCAGTTTGTTGGTATAAAAATTGTCAGAAGAGTAAGAAAAATTGCTCTCTTTGTGATTAGCATACAAGAAAAATGTGTAAATGAATGAAACAAATGTTAGTATAAAAATATGCATCAGATTAGAGAGGATCGAGCTAGGTAGTACCACTTAGAAAATATAATCTTCAATGAAGTAATCAACCGCAACTCAACTCAATTACATGGTTGAGTAAGTGCAGTACATCTGTATGTAGGACATAGGATTAATATATTCACTTATCTTCGATGAATATAGTTATGAATATAGTATTGTTTTAATCAAAAGATAAATCTGTTTCAAGATTCAGATAACAAAAAAAGGCAGAAACCACAAATGGCATAAGTGGCAGACGAACAGACATGCAGAATTAAGAATAATGATAGATAGATAACACACACGAAAAGAGAGAAATCTCAGAAATCTCTCTTATAGCCTAAAAAAGCCAATCGGCAAAGCCAGAAGGTCAAACAGGAAGACTAAAACAACATAATTACACTTCAGTCTGGAACTCCTCTTTTACTTCTAAATTTTCTCTGTAGCACAAATGAAAACAGACAGACAGAACGACGATAGAATAGAATCTGAAAGAAGAAGAATCATCCGAAAATCAATGGTTTGACAGAAAATATTTCGACAAAAACTAAGGATGATCATGCAGCTCGCAAAGAAAATATTTATTTGTTTATTGTTTTATGTTTGTAGAAAGCAGTCGTTATTGCCATATGATCGCATTCATCGCCTCTCCTCAATTTGCGCTGATATAGGCATTTTCATAAACGAATATTTTAATGGAGTGTCGATTATTGTTCTCCGAAGAACAAAAATATGATTTATGTTTATTTACGTCCTTTAGAAAGCTGAAGAATAAAAACAATGTTTTCTGAAGGACAAGAATTCGTTTTTTGTTCTTTATAAAAATGAAGAACTAATTTTTTGAAGAACAAAAACTCTGCTGACGAACAAAAACGTGAAAATAGGCTGAAGAACATATATTCTGTTTTTCAGTTTTCAAACAATACATTTGTGCTCTTCACTATGTTTTCCAAAGAACGGAAGAACACAGGTTTTTAACAATGTAGGTTCTCATTCGTCGATTTCACTGCACATCTTTAACATATTGGTGTTTTATTGAGTATAAATAGAATACAAAAATATTCGAACTGTGCAGATCAACGTGAAGAATTATTCAGTTTTTTGATAAAGGCTTTTTCACTTTTGTTTTGATGATCACGCCGTTTTCGTTCAGTTCTAGTAGATTACATACAATAAAGTTTTGTAAAAGCTGATAACTGGTCGTCGTTAGTACATGTAGAAACCTCTAATTCATGAAAAACGCGTAACTCTGCTACCGGAATCTCTGTGCGTTACCGTTTTTTCTCTTTTCGTCTATCCTATAATATTGGGAAAGAATATCGTAGAATCCTGGAAAGCGTCTTGTTTTGTAGAATGAAGTGCGTTCTTCAAAATCCATCACTAGCTCAGTTCAAAATAATTGACGCTTTTTATGCTGTACTTAAAATACGAAGAGCCCAAAAAACATTGTTGTTTGTTTTTAGGGCTTTTAGTATTTCGATTGTAACCGAAAAGTCGTCAATTATTTCGAATTGAGCTAGTAGTAGATTTTGAAGAACGCACTTCATTCTACAAAACAAGACGCTTTCCAGGATTCTACAGTATTCTTTCCGAAAATTATAGGATAGACGAAAAGAGAAAAAACGGTAACGCACAGACATTCCGGTAGCAGAGTTACGCATTTTTCATGAATTACATTTTACGTGATATACGTTTTTACAACAGCGCCAATTAAAAGTGAGAGAGACACCCTTCTCTTTCCTTCCTAGAGTCATATCGGGGTCAATAGTATTGAAAATACTTCTTGTAAAAAACACCGTTATCTTATGTGCTATTTTTTTTATCGAAATTTTAATATGCAGACTCGATTATGCCATGTTTTCGGGATTAAAAATATAATCGTTCTTTTTAAAATAGAAACATCTCTTTCAGAAGGAAGATACTTTTACTCCAAAAAAATTTCATTACCCTTGTTTGTGTCAAATACAATGCGTTTTTTATTCGGTAAATCGAGAACAGCATACGGATTTATATTTCCTTGTGAATCTTCTAATAGACGAAAAAAATAATGTTAAATAAAAAAAACTTTTTAGAAATATTTATAATTTTACAATCTTACCTGATACAAAACTGCAAGGTCTACTTGAATGATTTGTCGATTCTCTAATTTGATGATCACCCATAAACGTTTTAATTGTAAACTCATTATCAGTTTTCATCCATAAAGACTGTGCTCGTTGGGCTACGGGTTTTAATTTCGTTTGACCCAATAGCATTTCTGTTAAAATATAACTTAAATTTTTAATTTTAATATAACATCATATCTATACATACCTGTTTTCTTCAAATATCGACGACAAAATTTTGTCACAATAAAAGTTATTATTAACAACACAATTATAAATATAATTGAAACTGTTATCATTAATGATGTAAATAAATTATTATGCAAACGTTTTTGAACAGCTGAAAGAAAAAATGATTAATAAATATGAATATTTAAAATATAGAAATCTATACCTAATTTTGTAGATTTGTTTGAAAAATAGATAAGTGGAAATGTTTGTATTGGAATTATTATATTACTATTTCCAGCTTCACTTGTTGCTATTAATGTCAACTCATAATGTGTATCAGGAATTAAACCATTGATATCAGCACTCTTTGTATCATGTAAATAGAAAAAATATTTGTCAAACTGATCATCAATAAATGTCTTTTTTGGTATTCTTTGAAGCTAAAAATTGAAAGATCAAATTATAAGAGAGAATTATTATTATTTATTGTTCAAAGTTTACCTTAACACCATAATTCTTTATAGGACAGCCATTAGTTGTCCAACTGGTTAAATTTAATTCTAAATGTGTATCATATATTGCTTTAATAAACTGCATTTCATTTGTTGTACTCGGTGCTAAATAGGGAAAAACAAACTATTAATTTACTATTTTTCTAATGCATGTGTAAGTATATTTACCGGAGCCGTCCGTTTTTACTAAAAGTGTTTCGTTTGCTAACACTGTACTTAATCCTGCTTCGTTTTCAGCATAGGTTAAAATTTCATATTGACTTCCACATTTCAAATTTGACAAACGAATACCAGTTGACGGTGTAGGTACGTAAATTTTTTCAACAGAATTATTCAACATAAGCGAAACAATAATTGCTAATAATAGAGGAAAAATTCATAGAAAAACCATTTTTTTCATAAACCCTCTTTTCTGTCAGAAATACTGATCTCACCATAAAGAGGTCACATAATTAACTCACTGAAATAAGAACTTATCTTTTTAAAGATTTATCTTTCGATTAAAACAATACTATATTTATAACCATATTCATCGACGATAAGAGGATATATTAATCCTATGTCTTACATACAGATGTACTGCACTTATGCCTACGTCCAAGATGTCTCCTCTTAGATTTCATTCTTGATATCGTTACTGATATCAAGGATTTCGAAAGAAGTTTTAAAAAATGCATAAAACACTGATTTTTCTGAATTTCTGGTGTTATTCAAATTGGAAGAGTGTCAAAAACTGTATAAAACGACACTTACACACAGTGCAGATGTGCTTATTTTTCCAGAGTAGAGAAGAAGCATCTTCGGGGGTATTATTACCAAAACGGGCAATATGTCTTGCCCCATCAGACAAGAATTCCCATTCTCGACGTTAACATGTATTATTTAAGTAAACAAGTTTAGCCTGGATGAATTTGTGACAGAAAATAAAAATATTTTTTTCCCATATTTCATAAGAAAAGCTACGTGTGCTATTTCGACTTTTTGCATCTTCTAGTTTTTAAAGTATAAACGATAGTCTGTCTCAGGACTGTCGCGATCAGTCAGACTTTGGGGAAAGTGCTTCATTTATTTGGAGGGGAGGTATCGCACTCCCACCTCTCCCAGTAGTGTGTAGATATATACTTTTTTTTTCCCATTGTTAGACACGTGACGAAAACGAAGAAAAGAAAGAACTTGTCAAAAACAAAAGTACAAAATTAAAGAATGACTACAAATAAAAACAAAGAAGAACACTCATGAAATTTATTAGATATATTCACAATTATTTGATAGAATTTATCATAAATCATAATTCTTTGCACATTTAAACGTTCTATTTACTTTACATAAAAAGAATCATTCTGGTAAGGCTTCGTACGCATATAAATGCACTTAAAGTACGTATAAATGTATTATTCATACGTTATTCTTATAATAAGAATAATAAGAAGCTTATGTCCGTGCCGGATGAAGATCTGATCGAATCCTTCGGGTTACAGACATCGGATTTCGCTGAATTTGGCAGAATGTGGCCGATTTTCAGGTGTTTGAAGGTTAAAAATAGCCTTAGATTTTTTATTTAGTTCATCTTTTTAGTTCATTTTCTAGTGGCTCCTGTCTCTCACACTCTCATTCGAGAAAAATTCATTTACTCACATTGTTAAGAATTTGAGAAGAAAATTTTCTTGGTTTTCATTTTCTGCAATGTCATATTTAACCCTGATCCGTCCACCTGGGGTTCGTGCGGACCCCTGACAAAAACGAGTGCTTTGAAGATATGTCTTGCTGCTCTGTCAGATAAATAATGAGTGGCAATGAGTTCATATTGATAGTACACCCTATTGTCACTCAGTGGAATATAAAGTAAAGTGGTAAAATCTAACCGTTGTGTTCGGGCAGTATCCAAATGAAACCGGCAGAATTTGAGCATATTACAAGGTGGTCGGATCAGGGTTAAAGTAATGCTGTCGCAAAACAAAACGGCGAATATATTATGCGCACAGAAACGAAAGAAAAAAAGAAAGACAGAACTGTCGATTTGCGGTGACCGCAAATTAACGGATCCGATTGGTTCCGGATATCATATTCGATCTCCTGATCCTCCAGGATTCAGATATCAAGAAGCGAAAGAACTGAGCTGATTCCGGTCTCCGGATCCAGTCGGCCGTCCGGACTTCAGAAATCACCGAAATCAAAAGTATCCTACAGGATCCGATAGCCCGAATTCGATCTGGGCTGTCCTGGCAAGATATATTGCCGACAGTGGTAAGACCGGTCTTGCCTGAACTAGCAATGTTACCAAATTGGAAAAGGTGGACGACAAATAGACGACATTTGCTTAAGCTAAATTTGTTTTTCGTTTCTCCCATCAGAAAGGAAGGAGGTTGAACACTTTATTTTGATACACAATGAATATACAATATACAATATGATGGATAAACACTTCCCGCCCATTAGATGACCTATGATTTCCGAGATGGTTCTTGTCTGATCGCGCAAGTTGCTCGTTCGAGCAATACTACCCGATCGGGCAACTGACAGCGGTACTGACGGTCGTCTTTGGTAATATTAAAAGAGAATCTTCTAACCGATGGAAACTTCATTTAGATCAGTATTTTCTTAACATCTCGTGAAAGATAATAGATGAAGTCATGGAAAGGATTCCGATATACTTTGACATCACCACCATTTTCTAAATTTTTTCTCAAGATCCGACTTATAGTTGCCAAGATAGATTTCTGATAGAGAAGATCTTAAAAGAGATTATCGTACCGTGTACTGGTGTGGTGATACTCTGGTAACTGAACCGTAGTCCAATCGTGGTTGTCGTTGTATAGTGCAGTCTAGTTGTCACTGTTTGTGGTTTATCTGAAACATCCATTTGCATTTCAAAATCTCAAAAAAATATATTTCTTCAAATTGTTTACCATAAATTATAACATTATAGTTGAATGATTCACACTGGTAATGTCCATCGCTTTTCAACGGTTGGGGCTGCATTATCAATAGTGAATTATTCGGTAAAATTTTTGAGAAACCATCCGTTTCACTGATTGGTTTATGTCTACAAAAGTAGATTTTTTTAATTTGATGTGATAAAATTCTAAGTTACGTACTTAAATAACCAGATGTTTTGTAAACGATTGTTTTTCGATATACAATCTAATTGTAATGGTTTGACTTTCGGATGAACGATAAGTATTATGTTATTGTTATCTAAAAATGAAAATATTTTATATGGGTTTGTTGAATGTTATGGAAACAAACCTGAATTTGAATTGATGGTACTAATAAGAATAGATTTTGATGGTGTACCACAATCAAAAGAATTACATACACTAACAAAAAACGCATAGAGGGTATTTTCATGCAGATTTGTTGCGAGCAAACTATATTCGGTAGTTTCAGTTGTCTTCATCGTGGATAAATCTAGTTTAAAAAAAGAACTTTCGATCAATATATGCATTAACAATTTATCTATTAATTTATCTTTTTAGAAAACGTGTAGATTAACACTTACTAAAACTATGATAATATGTTACAGAAAATGTACGAAATTGCCCATTTATTGGTTCATTAGACATTGTTGACCATGTGATGATAATGTTTGTCGTATTAATCGCTTTTGCTGATAATTTTTGAATAATTGTTTGTGGTACTGTAAAAAAACAAATGAGATACACGGCGTTTCATCTATAATTGTAATCTTTTATTAATAAGTATGTTTTACCATCTTCAAGAGTTTGTGCCGTCAATGGTGAAATTGTACTTGGACCAACGCCATATTCATTAATTGCTTGTATTGTTATCAGATATGTCGTATAACTAGTTAAATGTTTTATGGTCATTGAATAGACGTTTGATGAGCGACTATGAGACAATGTATGATTTTTTACATGAATTGTTTGATGATATAAATCGTTATCATCTTGTTTCCAAATTTTAATTACATATTCAAAATTTGGGTCATAGCAAAAACGTACAGTTGGATTCTAAAATAAGATAGAGTTTCGATATTGTAAAGGATACTATTATAGAAATTGAATACTTACTTGCCAATTGATGATCAATGATCTTGAAGTTATATTTGTAATAATAACGTTGGAAGGAGGACTGTTTATTTCTGAAAAAAATGTTGATTGAATATTAGAAAACGAAAGGAGTAGACATAGACTCACTTTTCGCTTTGGTAATAAAATGTAATTTTTCACTAGGAATTCCATTACCAATACTGTTAACAGCATAAATAGTAATAGAATATGAACATTTTGATGTTAAATTATAGAGATCATAGGCAGTTGTGTCACCACTAACAAGAATTTTATTTTCATTAATTATCGTTCCTATAACGGTTTGCTGTTGAATATTGATAATATAGGCATTTATTTGACTATGACCATTGAATGGAACACTCCATAAAATTTTATTATGATCTTCTGTTAAAAAAGCCACTTGAACAGTAGATATTTGTCCAGGGATATCTTGTACGTTTATATTGAATACAGTATGATCATTTGAATAGAAATTTTGAGCTGTGCATATATAAATATCGCTATCGTCAATATCCACTTGTTTAATTTCCATAGTTAAACTCTTTGTTAAATTGTTTTGAGCTTCATAAAATTTTGTACGTGTTAAATCAAAGTGAGAAGTTTGTACGCTAACATTTCTTGATATAGTTAAAGTTAAAGGATAATCTCCTTGAGCTGTACATGTTACATGAATAGTACGATTTTTTATTGTGGTAATATTTAATGGTTTGACAACAATTTTAGCAGGCATAATAACAGATACAAAGACATTCATAATGCTACGACCAGCGATATTCTCAGCAACACATGTATAAAAATCAGCTTTTGTTAAATTTGATTGTGTCAGTAGTACTGGACTAGTCGTTGATAGCACGTGATCAAGTTTGTCGCCAGAGGTTACAAAACCTATAAAAAGAATATAGTAAATTGAATGATCAGTTGACTATCTACAGTGGACCGCAAAAGTAGCTCTCCCTCTGTAACTCAAGAACGATAATAACTAGGAAAGCTAAAAATACAAGCTTCTGATTTTGTATGCTCATTGTTCTTACCGAATTTTGAGAGGTAGTTATTAATGGTTACTGAAAGACAGCTATTTTACAATCGAGACCCCAGAGAATGAGACCTTGAGATATGAGCTCCTTTCCAGAAAAGATTCTTAAGTCATTCTAGGAACATCATTTTGACTTCAAAATTACACCAAATACTGTGCAGTGTCTGTAAACTCTTCAGTCAAAGTATGAAGGCTAACTATTTTACGGTTTCAGAAATGCGTTGCGAATGAGAAGGCGGTAATGTAAGCGAGATAACAGAGAGATGAACTTGAGGA